AGGAACACTACAGGAAGTACCTTTGCAGTGTTCAGCCTTGATTGGAGAAGAGCCATTCCACGTGCTGTGTCCTGCTCAGCAGAAATGTGCACAGCCCCAGCCTACATGATGGACTTCAGGAGCCATGGCCTTAATCTCTTTCTAAGCATCCTGTTGCCCTGGTTAGCGGGGATGGCCCAAGTTTCGGACTGCAAGGCAATGAAAAGCACCCCGCGCATTGGTCCTAGGTGGATACCACTGTCCTCCAGGATGCAATGGCTATCAGTACCTTGGGGCAGCCTGAGAGAAGCCTTTGGAACAGCAGCGGGGACAGCTCACATCTGTTGGAGCTGAGGGCCATTGTGTTGCCAGGTGGGGGGGGGATCCCTCAGGTACTAGATTGTTTGCTGGTCTGGCATTCCATGCAGTGTGCATGCAAGCTTTCACCTCAGGGTGGTCCTTGTTTCTTTGGGGCAGAAACTCGCATAGCCGAAGGCCTGGCCTTTCCTTGCTCCTTCCCTGTTTGACACCAGGGAGACCTGGGCCTGTGTGCTCCAAAGCACTGTGCTACTCAGCAGCGCCTAGTTGTGAAGGGAGCATCCTGCCCCTAGTGTTCTCAGCTCTTTTTTTTGCAGCATTAGGATTGAACCCAGGGACACTTTGCCACTGAGCTACTTCTCCAATCCTTATTTTGAGACAAGGTCTTGTTAAGTTGCCAGGCTGATCTGCAGCTTGCAGTCCTCCTCCTGCCTCAGCCTCCATGTTGCTGGGATTATAGGTGTGTGCAGGAGTGACTTTTTAAAGACCCAGGTCAGATCCCATCACACTATTCCAAACTCAATTCTCATTTTAGGCAGAGGCTGGCAAAGACTAAATTTTAACATAGTCCCTAGGGAGGGCCCTTTGTGATCTGGTCTGCCACCTAGAGACTTTTGCAACCTCTTTTTTCTGGCACTGGGGATTGAACCCAGGACCTCATGCATGTAAGGCAAGCATTTTGCCACTGAGCCACATCCTTAGCCCCTTTGAGACCTCTTTTTCAGAACCCCAGCCCTCTCTACTCCTAGCATGTTGAAACTGGCTGTCCCTGTCATAGGCTGAACCCATCCTAACCAGAGACCTTTGCTCTTGTCATTCCTCTGTTCTTGATGTGCTTCTTCAAGGTGTCATTTCCCCGGTTGCTCCAGGTCTCTGCTCAAATGCCCTCTTATAAGAGGTGGTGGTCTTCCCTGCACACTATACAAACTACCATCCTTGCCTTCCCACGTGCCCTGTTTCATCTTGGACACATGCTTATCACCTGTCTCTCCCCCACCCAGACGTTTCTTTGCCCACTGCTGGCCTCCTGGCCCTCAGTAATTACTTGTAAGGTAGATGAGCAAACTGAGTAATGGTTACCCATGTCAGAATCTAGGGTAAGGTCCAGCTCTTTTAGCTGGTAGTCCTTTCCCTCACTGGAACTCTTGGAGCCAGGGCCCTCTTAGGGCATGATGACCGTCTCTGGTTAGCAGTCATGCTTGCCCGTCAGCTCTGGTGCTTGCTCAGAGCTATTTGTCCTGCTGGGTTACTCTTCTCTGAGTCCCTGTACCAGTGACAGTGGGTGTCATACTATTTCCAGGGTACTAGAGACCCTCTGAATTCCCAAATCATTCTTGACACTTTTGAACCTGTGTTCAAACTAACCCCTGTCTCCCCACCCCCTCCCCCAGATGATGCCATGTGTTTGGAGATTCCTGTGGGTCACAGTAACACGGATATAGGAGGACGCAGGAGAACGGTGAAGCCTACAGCTACAGTGCAGTTCTGAGGGCCAGGCCTGGGGGTTCAGCTTGATGCTTAATGTATCAGTTACCATCTCTGTCGTTTCCCCCTCTTTTTTGTTGGATAATAGTTTAATTATGATACCTGGTTCTTATTCATAAGATTGTAGATGTTTATTTCAAGTATATGACAATGAGCTTTTTAGTTTTGAATTGACAACTGGGGGATAATTTAAAAGGTTGAAAAGCATTATGCTCTGTTCACACAAAAACAATTTCAAATAGAACAGTGAGTATAAGGTGAAAAGTTAAAGAGCCTGTGCTCCAGAATAAAGAGGTAAATACTTTTATGTCTTACATGAGTCCTTTGAAACTATTGTTTCTTAACATGTGCTTTTAGATATTACAAGAGTAGATGTGTCAAAAAACCTGTTGTCATCATGGGATGAAGTGATTCGTATTGCTGATCAACTCAAAAACCTGGTGGTTCTTAATCTCAGGTATGAACTCCTGGTTTCCTTATTGTTGAGAATCATAAAACTCCTGTGTCCTTCACCCTCCCAGTATCTCTGTGGGAATCAGATGGTAAGGCTGCCACCTAGTAGATATTATTAGGTCGTGGACAAATTTGGGCTTATTTAAATTCCCTAAAATTAAATTATTCTTTAAGGGCACATTGATTACTATAGTCTTTTAGAGGGTCCAATAAGATGATCATTAATAAGAAATGTGTTTGACTCTTTATCAAGAGGGGGAATGAGATAGGTTAACATTAAACTGGAAGATTTTCAGATGTCTTGAAAATATGACAATGAAATGTGGAACATTAAGGGAGGTGATATTTAGCTGGGGAGGAGAAGATAGGTGATATTATTAAAAGTGCTTTTTCATATGGATGTTTTTAGTGTATTAGGAATAGTGATTTCATTGGGATACTGTTTAATTCAGTTTTGTTAGAGTAGTAATGTCACAATTTTGTAGGCCTTTCTGAATATTTTATTATTTTTAATCTCAGAATCTAACTTTCCAAGGATTCAGCCAGGCCTCCCCTTTCATTCCTTTTTGTTTGTTTGATTTTGCAGTGCTAGGGGTCAAACCCAGGGCCTTGCACATGATAGGTACATGCTCTACCACTGAGCTACATTCTCAGCTCTTTTTGTTTTGAAACTTGCCTGCACCTCAAGTTTCAAGGCTGGCCTCAAACTTGCAATCATAGGATTACAAATTTCCCAAGTCTCAGGGATTATGGGCATGTGACATCATATCCTGTTCTTCACTTTTCATTCTTTTGTAGGGGAGGGGGAGCTGCTGGGGATTGAACCCAGGGATACTAACCACTGAGCCCCAGCTCAAGGTCTCACTGAGTTGCTTAGGGCCTTGCTCAGTTGCTGAGGCTGACTTTGAACTCGTGATCCTCCTGCCTCAACCTCCCAATTTACTGGGATTACAGGTGTGCATTACCACTCTTGGCTGGACTAAGGTCTGAAAGTGACTGTCAACTTTCCAAGATGAGACTTTGTCTTCAGAGAAAGATGTGAAAGGACAGCAGTTTATTTTATCCATCCTAATAGCACAGGGGCAGACTCCATGTTTAGAAAAGCAGAATTCTAGTTCATGTTCTAGCATGAGATCAGTAACACTTTTGATAACAGAATTGCCCTTTGCAATATCCAGAGACTCATCCTGTGAGTCTGGAATCTCACCTTAGAGATGCCTGCACCTCAGGCTTCTAGGCACCTGCAGCCTCACACTATGCCTAACTCTGTGGAAACACTTTTGCACATCAGGTACTAAAAGGTTGTATGTTGTAAATATTAAGATTAGTTGTGGTGGCTCACTCACTGTTTTCAATAAGCATTTAATTTAGGGTTGAAACAAACCAAACCCCTTAGGTTTGCTATCTTCATTGGTTCAGTTGTACAAGCAATAAAGTACACTGTATCTTCTCTTTCTACACAGTGAAAACAAGCTACAGTTTCCCTCTGGCTCACCAGTGCTAACTGGAACGTTTTCTACATTGAAGGTATTAGTTCTCAATCAAACAGGAATTACGTGGGCTGAGGTAATTATGTTTCTTTGGTTTATTACATAGTAATAAGCAGTTGGAAATGTTTGCTTTATAGGGAATTAAAGCACAAATGTGGCTTCATTTAAATCATCCTATTATCCAAGTAATGGGATTCTTTATACTGCATAACAGGAGTTAGAAAATCAGAATTTTATATTTAGGAATCCATGTTCTTCCTTGGTCCTTCTCCCTCAGCCCATTTGGATTTGCTCTAGTGGCCTGATAAACACTGGCACTCCATAGTGATAGGCAGTAAATATGTGCTGAGCTTTCTTTCCTTTTTTGATATGGGGTTTGAGATAGAGGTCTCACGAGCAGAGACCTCATGATTTCCTTGTAGAAAGTCCAGCTCCTCACACCACTGTTCCTCATAGACAGCCAGAGTCAGAAGTGGACTCTGGGTCCTCGGCACAGCAGCATTTGGCACTCGCATCTGGTACCGTCTTCAGTCATGGTTTCTCTGCTTCCACACCCAAAATATTCCACCATTAAAGCAAGCACAGAAATGCTCAGCTGCGTCCTTTGTCTACAGAGTGCCACAGAGGTAGCTCAGTGGGGTCCCATCACCCTTGACCTGGCCCCAACCCCTGGCACTCCACTCCCACACTCCTTCTTGGGATAAGATAGATATCAACCAGGTATAGATTTAGCCTCAGGACAGGAAGGATGCTTAGAAATATTGAGACACATTGTCTGAATGGTGCATCCTTTACACACCATACTGACATCTGGAACTGAGAAGGGTGCTCAGCACCACTGTGCACCTTAGGCTAATCAGACTCTGGTAGATGGTGCTTGGTCACCATCTCCAGCTCCACTTTCTGAGCACCTTTCCTAAGCCAGCTACTGATGCTCACCAGCTGGGTTCAAAATGCTCCAGCATGTTACAGTGCAGCCAATCAACATTTTAATTTGCTACCCCACCCAGACCACATGCAGCTGGTGAGAAGTGTTTGACGCAGTGTTTCTAAAACAGCAACTGCATGGAATTGCTGTGGAACTGTGGCAGTGAGCCTGCAGGAAGTAGCACCAGCAGAGGCCACTTAGCCCTGAACAGCTTTCCCTTCCAGGTGCTGCAGTGTGCCCTGGGGTGGCCAGTCCTTGAGGAGCTGTATCTGGACTCCAACAACATCTTCATTTCTGAAAGGTAATAGGTGGCTCTATTTCAGCCTGCGCCCTTTAGTCACCCTGAGGGAGATGGTTAGATCCAGTTTTAACTGGTAGGAGGATTTACGGATAAGAGTTTGAAACAAACTGGCCTTGAGCCTCTGGGACTCAGCCTTCTCTGCTGTACCTATCCTCACCTTCAATAAATCTGTTTTGCCTTAAAAAAATTTTTTTTCTTAAATTCTGATTATTTATTGCCTTCACCAATTAGAAAGTTAGTTGAATTGAGGGAAACTCATGAGGGTGACACCCTGAATTAAATACTTCTACTTTTGCATAAATATATTCAGCTTGCTGTTTCTCAATAGCAGTTCTGTAGGATATGCTGGGCACTTTCTCCTGTTTCTTTGCTAAGGATTAAATAATAGATTTATTTATTTATGTTGGTGATACTGGAGACAGCTAAATGCAACTACCACTGAGCTACATCCCAAGACCTTCCTATTATTTATTTTGAGACAGTGTCTAAATTTCGCAGGCTGGCCTTAAACTTGCTATTCTCCTGCTTAAGCCTCCTGAGTTGCTGAGATTACAATCATGTGATGTTGTTCTCTGCTGAATAGTGAATGTTTTTTGTTTTTTTGTACCAGGGATTGAACTTAAGGTCAGTTGATCACTGAGCCATAGCCCCAGCCCAATTTTGTATTTTATTTAGAGACAGAGTCTCACTGAGTTGCTTAGCACCTCACTAAATTGCTAAGGCTGGCTTTGAGCTCATGATCCTCCTGAATAGCTGGGATTACAGGTTACCATGCCCAGCCTTGACTTTTTTATTTTAAATATATATTATTAATATATTTTTAATGTATTTCTTTTTAGTTGTAGATCCACATATGCCTTTATTTATTTTTATGTGGTGCTGAGGATCAAACCCAGTGCCGCACATGTGCTAGGCAAGTGCTCTACTGCCGAACTACAATCCCAGCCCCCAAAAGTGCGTTCTTTTAAATAAATATGTATTGTTGGGCTGGGGATGTGACTCAAGCGGTAGCGCGCTCGCCTGGCATGTGTGCGGCCCGGGTTCGATCCTCAGCACCACATACCAACAAAGATGTTGTGTCCGCCGAGAACTAAAAAAAAAAATAAAGATTAAAAATTCTCTCTCTCTCTGTCTCCTCTCACTCTCTCTTTAAAAAAAAAAAATATGTATTGTTGCCTCTCCTTATTAACACACTCAGATATAAGTCTATTTCTTTCTTTCTTTTTTTTTTTTTTGGTACCAGGGATTGAACTCAGGGTATCAGTTTTTGTCTATTTCAATGAAATTGACACAGGTACGTTAAAATAGGTTGGAAATCATAATATAAAGCTTATTATTAATAATTTTAATTATGTCAGTAATTTAATAAATATTCTTACTAATCATTCATCTATTATTTTCCTCAAAAGAGTACAATTCTAAAAATGTAAATGTTTATCTCAAAGTTACCGTAAGTGGCAAATTTGTTATTTATTTTTTAGGTGTTTTATAAATGAGATGTTTAGATACAGTGGGTTAAATTACTCATTATTACATCATTAAATTGTGTGAAATAAACACATGTGGGAAATTTTTCAACAAATTTGGATTCAAATTAGTAAGATTTTATTGTACAGAATGGTTTTATTATACAGCCAAATGCAGCTGTTTTTCTGCATTTATAATAAATAATATACAGGGCTGGGGATGTGGCTCAAGCGGTAGCGCGCTCGCCTGGCATGCGTGCGGCCCGGGTTCAATCCTCAGCACCACATACCAACAAAGATGTTGTGTCCGCTGAAAACTAAAATAAATAAATATTTTAAAAAAAAAGAAATAATATACAGAATTTACCTGTCCTCATAATCCAGTTTCTTCTCTGATAAAAACTTGCAGATCTGTGGCACAGTGTCACAAGCAGGATGCTGATACTGATTTGGCCAGGATTACTTGAATCACACCATGAGGGTCTCCCAGGTTCCCTTTCCATGGTCACACCCACTTGTTTCCACCCCAGAGGTCCCTAATAACAAATGCAGGTATTCTAAGGCCACATGCTCATGGCAGCAACACATGCTGAAAAGATGGTGTTTTCCATACAGGCCCAGTAATGTTCTACAGATGCTCAAGCTGTTAGACCTTTCCTCTAACCCATTAATTGATGAAAACCAGCTGTTCCTGATAGCCTATCTGCCCAGGTAATTTGATTCTAAAATGGCTATTACAGTAGGCCTAGTAAATTTTTACAGAATGAATTTTCATTTGCTATTACCTTTGTCAATAGAAATATGATAGTGATAAGATTCTTAAATTGAGCAATTTCCTGTAGGAAGTTTTATTTTAATTCATTTGGAGAATTTACTTGTGAACCACATACAACGTGGACCATGTACTAGATAATTTGAAGAATGGATAATTTGACCTTAGTGATATAATACTGAGCCTGAACTTTGTTAAACTTGGGGAATTGAGACTATTTCTTAGACCCTTTTAGCAAGAGAGACAGCAGTAGGGGCACAGAATGCTAGAGGCCTGTAGAATCACTAGGCTACAGCATTAATCATTCTGCATGCCTTTAATTGGACTCTGATTTCTGTTCATTTTACATGGAATGAAAACCCAGGATAGAGGAAAGAATTTATAAACCTAGACTGGTTGATAACCCATAGCATTTATATTGTTCTGTGTAGTCAACTTTAACATTTATAATTTCAGATTAGAACAACTAATCCTTTCTGACACTGGAATTTCTTCTATACATTTTCCGGATGCTGGAATTGGTATGAGATTAGTAAAGCCGCCCTCCTACTCCCCCATCTGTTGTATGTTATTGGGGGTTTAACCCAAAGGCACTCTACAACTGAGCTACACTCCCAGTCCTTTTTTAAGATTATAATTTGAGACAGGGTTTTGCTATAGCTACCAAGGCTGGCCTTGAACTTTCGATTCTCCTGCCTTAGCTTCTTGATAACATGGGATTATAGGCATGGTCCACTGCACCTGGCCTCCTTGCCCCTGTTCTTTAGCCATTTCTTTTCACTTCTACCATGTGACTTAATTCTCCTTTTTTGTAGGGTGCAAAACATCCATGTTCCCGTCCCTGCAGTACCTTGTAGTAAATGACAATCGGATATCACAAGTAAGGGCTGCGTCACAGTGCGCCCAGCGCATTATCGCCTATTCCCACTCTTGTGGAGTTCCTAGGTTCCTTCTTCTATTGAAAACCTTTTAAATCAAAAGAGAAATAACTCCGCAGAGTGAAACTCCTCATGCAAAGTAAAAAATATTCAGAGCGAGCTTGGTGTAGCATGTCCAGGCAGGCTGCCAAGGTTTCAGGTGGCACAGTCATGGAAAAGTGTGGTCTTCCTAATGGGGTGTTCTGTGCCTGAAGCTTCCCTGCCTCAGGTTAGAACGGGGACTTCTGCTTTTCTGTTGTTAGTTCACGAAATCTGAAAAAGTAGTCTGAAACATTGCTTTTATTTCTTCTTGTTGGGTTTCAGTGGTCATTCATCAATGAGCTAAACAAATTACAGAGCTTGCGTGCCCTGTCCTGTCTAAGGAACCCCCTGACTGAAGGAAGCAAGGAAGCACAGACCACTCGACAGCTCATTATTGCCAAAATTGGTCAGCTGAAAACCCTGAACAAATGTGAGGTGAGCAGTGGTATCGTGACAGGATTCTGTTTTTGAGATGGGTCTTGCTATGCTGCCCAGGCTGGCCTCAAAGTCCTAGGCTCAGGTGCTGCTGCCTCAGCCTCCTGAACAGTGGAGACAATAATGCACAGCCAAGCCTGGCTTTAGATATTTTTGAGACTAGAAGGTAAATTACCAAAAACTGTAAAAAGAAATCATATTTGGATATTGTAAAAGGGTATGAAATGTAAATTTCCTTCAAAGGGTGGTAGGTTGTTTTTGTCCATTTTAGTAATAATGGTTCTTTTCTGACTCCTCAGGAGAGAGGATTACACTTAGTTTAGTGCCAGAAATGCCTGTCGCTCTACTGCCCTTGCTGATTTATTTTCATTTGAACAGACGCAAAGGAGCACACTCCAAAGAGTACTATAGGGCACTTCCTCTGATTTCTTTGGAGGAGTTAGGTAGAAAAAAGACAAAAGTACAGAACATGTCTCTACTCCTTGTCAGCTGCTTCTCCCCATAGAAGTGGGAAGGCCAGGCCTGGCCACACTGTGCCATTCCCCAGAGAGGGGACCCCAGGCACCCAGTATCAGCCAGCCTGTGGGCAATGTTCTCATGAAGAAAAAGATAAAACTGGAAATCTTTTTGAACAAACTCTTGAGTTCAGTCAATGTCAAAAAAAGAAAGGTAAAAAATATAATTATCTCATCCCTCTAAATTTGATTATTCTGTGCTTGGGCAGTGGAGGAGAAGGGCAAGGTACAAAACACAAGTGAGTGTTTTCATAGACTTGTTTATATTTCACTTCAACATAGATTCTTCCAGAGGAACGGCGAGGAGCTGAGCTTGATTACCGAAAAGCTTTTGGAAATGAGTGGAAAAAGGCTGGTGGACATCAGGATCCAGAGAAAAACAGACCAAATGAAGAATTTCTTGCAGCCCATCCTAGATACCAGCTCCTGTGCCACAGTATGTCCACATGACCTGCTGGTCTTTCCTGGGGCAGCACAGGCAGTTCAGTGTGTTTTTGTTTTTCTCCTTCTCTTGGAGCTATAGGTACTTTCTTGGGGCCACTTCAGCAAGTTGAGAGCAGACAGAGGTAAATCAGTGTCTCTTGGCAGAAGGAGCTGGGAGACTCTGAGGTTCCTGAAGGGGGAGAGTTGCATTTGAGGAAGGGAAAGCAGTCCTTAATGTAAGTCCTCTCATCTTTGCCTGTGCTCTCTAGATGGTCAGTTTCATGAGGGGTTACCACTCTCCACTCCAGGCGGGGGTGGAAAGCATTCCAGTTCATCTCACAGGATTTGGGTTATTTTTTTTTCCCACTAAATTTTTTTTTGTGGTTGTAGATGGACAGCATGACTTTATTTTGTTTCATTTTTATGTGGTGCTAAGGATTGAACCCTGAACCTCACACATGCTAGGCGAGTGCTATGCCACTGAGCTACAGCCCCAGCCCAAGGACTTGGTATTTTTTAACATCCTGGGGTAATTTTAACTTATGCAGAAGTCACACCACCTGGTTTCTCCTCAGCTCTTCTGTCCCCAGGCTTGCTCACGTTCCGAGTTTGGCATTTGATATGTGTGGTAGTCCCTTAAATTCTTCAGCCTGGCTTCTCAGGCTTTCAAGCTTAAGAATTTGTGAGTCTTTGTACCTGATGTACTTTTAATTTTTTTAAAACTTCATTATTATTCCACATTTAATTTTTATGTGAATTTCCTTTTTATATATTTTCAAATTCAAGGTGAAGCTCACTGCATAAATGCTTCAGGCTGGAACCTTATCTGAGAGGAAGAAAACCTGCCTATGGGGAATGCTTTCAAATTACTTCATTAGCTGGCCCAATTTCCTGGCCACTCTCAATCACTTGGGTGAGGAGGGAAAGGTTCTAAAGCAGATGGCAGCTATGTTGACTATTTCATTGCTCAGAATGCCACGAGAGAAAAGCAGATCTCTGGGGTGTGTAGAGGAATTCCCTCATCTGTTGGCCCAGAGCAGGAGAGAAGTACAGTAGTTACCCCTATCTGCAGTTGCAATTTTTTTTGGGGGGGGGGTAACTAGGAATTAATCCCAGGGTACTTAACCACTGAGCTTCATCCCTAGCCCCTTTATATTTTATTAGAGATGGGGTCTTGCTAAGTTGCTTAGGACCTTTCTAAGTTGCTGAGGCTGGCTTTGAACTCTTGATCTTCCTGGTTCAGCCTCCTGAGTCACTGATATTACAGGCATGTGCCACTGTTCCCAGCTTGCAGTTGCAACTTTCATTAGAAAAAAAAAAAAAAAATTCTCAGTTCTAAATTGCACACCATTCTGAGGAACGTAATGAACACCCTATCTTGTCCCCCCAGGACAGGAATACGTTTGACCAGAGCATCCACATTGTATATGCTGCCCACCTTAAAGTCGCTCAGCTATGTCCTTGTAGACTTGTTGCAGTGTCACAGTGCTTGTGTTTAAGTAATCCTTATTTCACTTGAAAAGACCCCAAAGCACAAAAGCAGTGGTGCTTACAATTTGGATAAGTCACAGATAAGATATAAAATGCTCCATTTAAGTGTAAAGGAAAAAGTAAAATATTTTGAAAGTGCACATTTACATACCTTTTATTAGTTTATTGTTCAATTGCTAGCTATATTGATCTACTGTGCCTAACTTTATCATAGATATGTATATTCCAGATATAAGGCTTGGCATTATTTGCAGTGCCAGGTACTCACTGAGGTCCTGGAATGTCCCCCACAAACTAGGGGTCTGCTGTACTGCATTTTCAGGCAGAAGAGCTGGTCTGCAGTGCAGGCACTGGGCACCTAGTCTGTCCTTATACCATGTTAACACTTGAAGGTGTCCTGTGACTTGTGTCCCAAATAGTACTGGGTTTTTCCCAGACCTTACAGAAAGGGAACATTTTTCAAAGTTGAAACTGTGTGTCCACTTGAAGTGTTTGAAAGCAGGTTAACTCACAGTTGGAGCCAGGACGCTGTAGGTCCTGAGGAACAGTGATGTGATACACACTGGAGGCTTCTGCCTTGGGAGGGGCGCATTCACTCTCCTAAAAATCAGAGCGGCTGAATAAAAGCAAACTGTTCAGGTTAGCACACAGTGGTTGCTAGGCTTATCCTGGGGAAGGAAAAGGTGGTGCACTGACATGCACCTCTCATCATTTGTCCCTCTTGATTTCTTCTAAAACAGAATATGGTGCACCTGAGGACGGAGAACTCAAAGTACAACAACCATTTATGCTGAAAAACCAACTACTGAGTAAGAATCCCAAATTCACACACAGCTTTATATTCTAGGCTGAAGGGATAGCAAAGGCCTGATAGGGATGTGCATTTCTTTTAGGAAGAACTGAGTGAAATGCCTTGAGCTTTAAAGGAATTCTCTATACCGAAATTCCTTGGTGTGTGGTGTCCTGCTGGGATGGAACCCAAGGCCTTGCACATGCTCGGCAAGCCTCCACTGCTGAGCTACACCCAGCCCCCTACATTCTAACCTTTAATGTTTCTACAATTCCTGGGCTTTAAACTCATTAATAGTGTTATAAAGGTGGGAGGGATTTGAGTAGTAAACCACATTGTGATTTGGAAACCAGTGACTTTTCTTACACTTGAAAATCCAGCTCATTTGTCAGGAAAGGAATGCTGAAGCGAAAAGCAAAGCACTGGAAGGCCGGTAATCCAGCTGTTTTGTAGTCACCAGGAATTCATGGAAGTGTTTAACAGGAAAAAAAATTAACATAATTTAGATAGATTTCTTTATCAGGACTGACACAAGTTATACTAAACAGCTCTATTATTTGGCAGTGATATTAACTTGTAGGTTTTATTACTGGGATTGAAGTTAAAGCCTCACACATTCTAAGCACACTTCTACCAATGAGCATGTAAACCAACCCTGCATGTAAACTTTAAATCAGTACTGTAGTAGACATCAATGTAGTCCTTCCTTCTTTCCTTAAAGCACTGAAGATAAAATATCCAAACCAACTTGAACAGAAGGTCTTAGAGAAGCAACTGCCAGGTAAGATGAATGAAACCATCTTTGCCTTCCTTGCACTTGTGAATCACTGGTGTGGGGATGGGTTGGCTCTTATATATAGACCAGTGATTGAAACCTTTAATTCAATTCATATCTAGAAGTGTGGACCTCAGAATTTAAAGGTTTTCATTAGTCTTTTGTATTCTAAAATATAATCAGCTGTGCTAATGTCACTCCTCTAGCCCCCCAAAATTCAGGTCTCCCATACCTTTTGGCAGTACTGGGGATTCTACCCAAGGATACATACTATGTTTTTAGATACAGTATAAGTTGCACAGGCTGGCCTGGACCTTGGGATCTTCCTGCCTCAGCCTCCCCAACTCCCTGGATTTGGTATTTTAACATTTAGCTAATATTTAGCTATGAATCAAGTTAACTTGGGAATCTTGGGAATTTAGTATACCATTACCATGGTATACTTAAAAATTATGTCTTCTGACTCCCATAACTTTATCAGCTTATCTGGAAAAGTCTTTTGTTTTTAATTGGGAGCCTTTGCTTGTGATATTTATGGCCTAAGGGGTTGACTGGCTTAGCCTCTTAGGAATTCACATGCTTTTTTTTTTCCCCCATCAGACACACTGGAATGCTTTCCTTTAGGGGAAAAAAAAAAAAGACTTTGGAACTTTTTAAAAACATATGGCCAGGACCTGGGGTTGTAGCTCAGTGGTAGAGCGCTCATCTAGAACATGCAAGACACTGGGTACAATCCTCAGCACCACATAAAAAATAAAATAAAGGTATTGTGTGAAACTACAACTAAAAAATGTTAATTAAAAAAAAAATTATGGAAACCACAGTGGTTCACACTTGTAATTCCAGTAACTTGGAAGGCTGAAGATGGAGGACCACAAGTTCAAGGCCAGCCTTAGCAATTTTTGAGACCAGGTCTCAAAATAAAGGACCAGGGATGTAGTTCCTTGGTGAAGCACCCCCTAGGTTCAGTCCCCAGTAAGTAACACATACAGAAAATAAAAATGGGCTAGAGGTATAGCATTCTTGGGTTTAATCAAGAACTGAATTAGTTTTGGAAAAATACTTTTATGTCAACAAATTAGATCAATAAATTAAACTTTCACTCAAAAGACAAATAATTGTTTAGTATACCATAATTGATTCATAGCTAAACATGAGCTAAATGTTAAAATACCAAATCTAGAGCAGTGAAAACTTGGAGGAATGAAATGCAGATCAGTTTATAGGATTTCAGTAAACTAAATTCACTTGTCTGCCCCAGTGCAGTAACTGCACATTAGCAAGCTTACCATGGCATTGCTTATGATACGCGTGGTGGTATTCAAGAAGTATATTTATGATCGATAACTATTCATTTAGTGTTAATCTACCACTGTTTCTCCATTTTAAGTATTTGTTAGCAATTCAATTTCTAGTCCTAGAGTGTATAATTTTGCTACTATTAAAATTAGTAGTGATTCCCTTTCATATTCAGTTTCCACACGTAAATGCTACATAGGTACAAAATAACAAAAGAGCCAGAACTCTGTCAGTGTTAGTAGCTTTGGATGACTTTCCCTTTTCTTTCCCACAAATATGGAAATGTTATCACTAAGGAATACTGATACCCAAGAATGCTGCCATCAGTCAAAGGCTACAGTCTGGGAATGTGTGCTAACATGGTTCTTTTGCACCGCACACCTGTTCTGGAAACACCTGCCATGTCCATGCACTTTCTTTTAATCCTCGGATGAACCAGCAGAGGTTAGAATTACCATAGAAATTATGTGTGATGATTACTGCTTCAGACTTCAGAATCTGAGTCCTGTATCCTATAAACTCAGCAGTAAACCAGATTACAGGGTTCTTAACTGTAATTTTTTTGCCACATGCTATAACTAATGACTAATGTAGATAAATACCCTTTAAAAAGTAGCATGAATTTAACAAAACAAATATTGGCTGGTATGAAAAATTCATATACCCTTTTTATTAAGTTATGTGGTAATTGCTATAAAAACTGAAAATACATGCATGCTCTGTACAGGCTTTCTAGTGGTCTACTTTGTACCACTTGTAATGGTAAAGATAAAAAACACGTAGTTTGATGGCAGGGGCAGGCGGGGCAGGGCATAGTTGAATCAACTCAAAAAACCATACTATCATGTGAAGTCAAGGAAAGCTAACCAGGCCTAGCTCTGTGCTGCTCGCCGTGCCTGCCACTATTTATGTGTGGCTAAGCAAGTTTAAATTCACTAATTTCTGTCAGGTGCTCCATAGCCATGTGTGCTTGCTATATTGGGTAATGCAGGTCTAGAGGAATTGGCAAGTAAAAAATACAAAAACTCAGGCACCCCCATGAGAACACAAGAAGCCTTTAACAGGCTTGGTCAGAGAAAGAAAAAGAAGTAACTATCTTCATATTTTCTAAATAAGACAATCACATTAGAAATGATAGTTATTTACATACAGGTTGCCACTTTCCTACACAGTGCAGGTAGGCAAGTCTCTTAGAAACTTTGTTTCTGGCATTGATTAGGAATTGTGTTATTTCCCATTGGTGTGCAGGAATCAGTTCCTCACCACTCTCCAACAGTGAAAGCCAATTCACCCAAATCTTTTGAAAGGTCCAATTTATAATTACAATTTACTCCTAGGTGTGAATATGATAAAGTTTTTAAATACCTACCAAGTAGCTGTATTCAGTACACAAATAAGAAAAGGCCAGTTTTTATTCTAAAATAAAGATCATATTTATTATCACAAGTTGCATAAAAACACAGCTTTTACAAAAATGATTGATAGAAAAATACTCATTTGACTATGTCGTGATATTTGTGGGAACACCACACTATTGCTGTACCTCCAGCTAAAGCTTCAAAGAAACTGGTTTTCATAATTAAATCTCCACTATTTACCACAAGCCATCTTTGGAAAGAAGTTCATACCATGTTCTGAATACACCAAAGCATTTGCTCAGTTAAATTACATTCCAGGCCTAGTGGTTGCTTGTGTAACATGAGACACATTTTTGATAATCACAGGATAGGTATGCTGGAACTTGTCCATCTCAGTCTATACCCTCCCTTCCCAGAGGAGGCTGAGCCACCTCCTCAGGGCACCTGAGCCCACTCCAAGCTTCTTTCAGTAAGTAACTCAGAAGAAGTAATTACAAAGATTTACAAAGAAAACCATTATTTCACCTGTCTTTTCCTCTGAGCTGAGAAACCAGAAATTAGATTATCAGATTAAGGAATAATACCTACTGAAACGGCACAAAAACTGTTAGGGGCACCTGGGTCATACACTGGCTTCACTTCCATGAGTTTCCCAAATAACTCAAGTAAGTGGTAGAAAGACACAAATCTACCTCTACTTATTTTCCTGGATGAACTGATAACCAACAGGGACAGCTATCATTGCAGCTTGGTCTCATTATGTGACCTGGTTTTACAGGTAGCTGTCCTTTGAGACATCTTCCTTTTCTTTGATAGGTTCCATGACCATTCAAAAGGTGAAGGCATTACTGTCACGTCTTCTCAAAGTTCCTGTGTCAGAACTTTTGCTGTCCTATGAAAGTCCCAAGGTAAGCCACCCCCAAGAGGCAGTCAAGCTCAATTCTCCACAGTAAGACATGATTAAACTGTCTGACATGGTCCAGTTCTGATCAGGGAGCACATATTTATTAGACTTCTGAGTAACCTGTGGCATGGAGGTCATGTTTTGTCAGATCTGTCTTACCCCCTACCTTTGTTCTAATTTTAGATGCCGGGCAGAGAAATTGAACTAGGAAATGACCTTCAGTCATTACAGTTTTATTCTGTGGAAAATGGAGATTGTCTACTAGTGAGATGGTAACAACCAGCTTTAAAAATTTAGTGACTAGACTGTTCATTGTGACTGGGGTTCGCTGGGAAGAAATGATTTGCTGGAACAGTTCTACTGTCAAATGAGGTTTTACAGCTTGCCCAAAGTATAACAGAGGATGTACTTTTCACCAGGAAGAGACCATTTGTAGGCTTGTATATAATAGCAGTAATAAAGGCTTTGACTACTCATGATCTTCTGATCTTACTTCATATGTATTTTTATAGCTCCTCACTATTATTAAATAGAAACTAACTAGTCTAATAACATCTGAATATAGCTAATGTCTGTCATAGACTAGTTTTAATGAAATTCTCTACTGATACTAAGATTACCGAAATGATTTGGTCACATGGGGAAGTGTCCCTTAAATTCAGGGAGGCACATCCTTTAAACTGTCTGACATGGTCCAGGTCTGAGCAGGGAGCACATATTTATTAGAATTTGAGTATTAGACTTTTTCTTCTCAGATATACTATCTTGAGAGTCCTTAACAAGGCAATCATAGGCTTTTCTCTATAGTTATACCTAAACTGAGCATAGTATTCGCAGGTTCCCAGCTCTGACGGACTTACCCAGGGGGCAATGATGAAAGCAAAATCCTCCCTATGGCACAAAAACCCAAAGAGATATATTCATAAAAATGTGTTTTAACAGGAGTACTAAACTGATTTTCAGGATTTATCTTAAATGAAAAAAAAAAAAAAGCATTAACAAAAAACCATGGATATTAGTCTAAGTAAATGAACATATTTAAGCCAGGTTCATGACTGAGAATTAGTTCCTCTCCAAGGTCAAACTGCTCATTTCATTCAAGAGCCACAAAATCTGACATTATTTCCAGAAACCCAAAACTTTGGTATAAGTGATCACTGCTCATGTAAGTAAGCACACAGTATTTGTGAGTTTTTTTGGCATGTGTTGTCTAATCAAGCCATACAGACCTATGCAATCCAGGCAGAAATTCAAACTCAGATGAACTATTAATCATGATTTAGAAATACTTTTCCTTTTATAAAACAATTTGGTAATTTTAAATCATTTTCCAATATATAAATAAAAACTTAACTATAGTTATTAGTTGATTTTTTTTTTAAAAGAAGGAAATCTGCACAATTAGTACCACACTGGTTCAGGTGAAGGTGCCAGCCGAGGGCTCTCCTGAAAGACCATCTATTCTACTGCCAACCATGGCTGCTCTTCTCAGACTTACATGGAGATTATCATCCACCTGCCCTGGTCTTCATGCAGCCCGTATGAATCTCTTGTCACCTTGTTGCACACTGACAAGGGTCACCACACACTCCCTTTAGTTCCCACAGCTCTGTCAGCTCGTGAGGGGAGTACTGAGGGGAAGACAGCATTCCTGTCTCACAGGTCTTCTCACACAGCCACAGGCTGTCCTGCAGAGGGGGAGAGCAAGCTGTGAACTGTGCAAGCATGCACCAGGGCATGTTTATGTATGGTAACGAAGCTGAAATTATTCCAAGGATAATTCCATGTTTGAACCAACTCGAGGTTTGAGGAGGGGTATCTTCTGTCTCCAGGAAAGATCAGGCCTCACAGTTGTGCGGCTGTGTGTGGATTAACAGTCAGCAAATGGCACCCTATGCACATGTCTTGAATGTCGCATTGGACCCCATACATGCACGATTAGTAAGTTGTTAGTTTGTTAAAAAAGGGTTAGCAAGTGGAGAAGAAGGAAAAGTTTGGGAACTACAAATGGTGAGTTTCATATCTGCTTTGAGAAACTGGTTGTGTAGCAGCATTCATAGCAGCTACTATTTGGATGAAATGCTTGCAGTATTCTGGGAACTATGCCAAGTCTTTACAAACATTACCTCATTTAATTCTCAAGAACCCTGTGAGGCCAGGTGCCTGGCACACACTTGGGATTACAAGCATTAGGGAGACTGAGGCAGGAGTACTGCAAGTTCAAGACCAGCCTGAGCACCTTAGCTGTCTGAAAAAAAAAAAAAAGGCTGGAGGTGTAGCTCAGTGGTACAGCATCCCTGGTTTCAACCACCCCCCCAACCCCGCCATTAAATTGAAAAAAAATAAAATAAAATTAGGTGGGGATCATTTCCCTTTTACAGATGAGAAACAAACTCTTTAAAGTTTGGATGGACTCCGCTAATGAATAAGAAACAGCTAAAGTCAGTATGTGACTCAAAAGTACCTGGATACTTGGGCTTTAAAATAAAGGCCATGTGCACAGGACAAGAGACCAATCAGAATGGCCAGAGAGCCAACACCCCAAAGGGCCACAGCCTCCCAGGGTATGTATGAGAACAAAGTCAATGCTCCATCTCAGTCTTGCCAAGTGGAGTGGGGGGGTCTTCCTGAGTGCCTGGGGCTGATGGGATTTTGTGGGCTGCACAAATTGGCCTAAGGCAGAAGACAGTGGATACCCTTTCTGTAGGGCTGAATTTTAAGACAGGCTGGGGTTCCAAAAACTTGAGGTCACACACACAAAAATCAACACATTAGGAACAAGAGCCTCAAAGGAGCCTACAGAAGCAGCACACCAGGAAATCAGAACTGCCAGGTTTGCACATTTCAGGATGCTCAGAGATGGAAAGTAAAACATCATATTCAACATAAAGTGAATCAAAGATGGGACACAGCAGGACAAAAGAACAGGTCCACCAAGCTGCCAGGCTGACTTGGGCTCACGGTCTCATTTACTGAGTAGAGGGCATGCTGCAATGGGGTGGGGGGGACGCAACAGTCCCTGCAGCTCCTCTGGAGCACTGTGTGTGCCTTCATCTCTTGGCACCTTCTGTGCCCAAAGTGGAAGTTGCAAGAATCCAGAATGTAACAATACTCTATGAGACAAAAGCTTGCTTTCTTCCCAGGGCTCCTACTTAGTGATTTGGTCTTTGCAGATTAATTTTTTCTGGCTCAGCAGTCAGTTTGTTTTAAAAATACTGTGTTACAACAGAAGAAATGGACATCAGTCAGAAGGGTCCAGAGGTCCTTACACTGCTAGGAACACAAGCCAGCAAACTCTTAAGTTTCAAAACTGCAAAGAATTTCTGATCAACTCTATGAAAACCTAATTCTTCTTTGTGAGTCAGGGAACTTTCATTCATAGCATTTCCTTTTTAGTATACTCAGAAAAATACTGGATGAGAAATGAGGTGGATAGTTCTGAATTAAATCCAGCGTACAGCTGTGGTCCAGGACTAGCTGTGCACTATATGGCCTCACGCCACAACTCCCAAGACCACAAAGCCAGCACCCTTGGGCCTGCTTACCTGGTATCTTCTAGGTCCTATGGCTGCCATCCAAATACCCATGCTTACATCTTCACCCTACACAGGTCCCAAAGTTTAAATGTTATAAAATAATGCCATACCCACTCCCAAATAAACAGTCTTTCCACTTCTTTGTTCTGCTATTATTCTGTTAAGGCAAAACATGGATTCACATGTAAAAGCAGTGATCACAGACAGAAAGCACCACACTGCATGGTAACAGAGCAAGCAGACAGCCCCTCCCTCACGAACCTTAGACTTCTGGGGCTAACAGCAGCAAATTGTGGCTCTAGTAACCAGGAGAAACTGCACGTTGACACTATACCCAGATTCAGCAGAGAGCAAGCTCTTCAAGCTTTCTTCCTATGAACAGCAATCTTGATATTCACACCAATTACACTTGTGGGCTCAAACGACTCAGGAGCAGACTGGATAGCCAGATGTGAGCAACAATAACCCTTGATGGGTGACTCCCACAGAACAGCATGCTCCCCCACGGCAAGCTGGCTGCTGCAGGGATGCAACCTTAGGCTGCTGAGACTTGGACTGTGAGTTGCCTTGGGTTAGAAATCTGTAATTACCTGATAGGTCTTTAATCTCCCCGAGTTGCTTGCCAGCCAGTTGACAATGTCCCTGGAGATCACATATCCTGACCCACATGCGAATGCAGGGTAAGCTGGGCTGGGGTACTCCAGTTCTTGCCACTTTCCAGTTCTGTCCACTGCCCAATTCAATCTGAAACTGAGATTTTTAAAAAACGTGGATTCTCTGTATTGTTATGACATGTATCCTACCACTATCAGATTGTGGACTCCTTTGTTATCACTATAAAGGAAAGAGCTTGAAAAGCAGAGAATAATAAGAAAAAATTTAAGAAAAGGAACTATTTTATCCAGGAGTATTTTATATAGAAGACGAGTATATTAAGTTCTAAGTTTCTGAATGGGAAGGTAACAGTACTACTATTATTTATTTAGGTACTGGGGATTAAACCCAGGGGCGTTTGCTCACTAAGCTAAGTCCTTTTAATTCTGAGACAGGGTTTCACTAAGTGCTGAGGCTGGCCTTGAACTTGTGATTCTCTTGGTTCAGCCTCCCGAGTTGCTGGGATTACAGGCATATAACATTGAGCCCAGCTATCATGGTTTGGTGTATATTCAAAACAAAAACCCCAAATCATTAACCTTTTACAGTGCTCCTGAAGCAGCAGAAAATAGCTGCAGAGACGTGTCATGTGTTCATTCTAACACAGAAGGTAGAGAAGCTTCTGAGCATAACGTATTTTTAGAGCACAAAGACACAAACCACATCTTTTGCTCTCCACCATATCTCAGCCTGAGGTTTTTCATTCAAAATATTTTTCACTCTAATTGCAGAATACTAATACAGTAACCCAGGCATCTAGTAGGAAATGCATTTCTCAGACGCATTCTTCTTGTGGAAATGGCTTGCACATTTTCACTCTAATCACATTTGCTCAGGTACACGAATGCCAAAACAAACCATGTTTCACTTACTTTCCCCACCAAACATTAGGCCCATCCAGACTCTTTTGGGAAATTCTTTTAAACACAGATTCTAAGTCTATGTAACAGTCATCATCTGTCTTCAGCAACAAACTGAAGCTGGTGGTTTCCACAGTCCTGTTGGCAGAAAAGGGTGTGTGAATTGGTGTGACTGTGCAAGGAAACACAGCGACACCAGTGAAGACCCATCACTAGCACCCTCTCACAGCTGCCTGTGTGACCATGCCCAGTGTCTCACTCATGTACCACCAAGAACGCTGGCTTTAGAATGGTACTGCTCTCAATTACAATCCTCACTGATATTTACTAAGTGATAGAGAAACATCAAGTTCATTTAAGTAAAGGAAAAAGTACAATGAAAACTCTCTGGCTGAAGGAACACATTTTCAAACAAATGTCTTAGGCATTCATGTCAGGCTGCCGTAACTATTAAACTTTGAACCTTGCCCAGTTTGTTCTTAACGAATGCCCAGCATAATGGGACATTACTGTACAAGATGCATTCTATGCTACTTTTTATATTTAGTTGAGCAGAACTCAGTGACCTGGATGGGAGGGACTCTAGTTTGAGGATCTGGGTAGATCTTTTGGAAAGGTACCATTTCCAAACCCACTGATTTTTATCTACTCCTAGCTGATACTCCCAAGGCAAGGAGGAATGACTCCAGATGGATTAGCTTCTGCCTTGTTTTCGATCAGTTAATACATTCACTCGTCAAAATAAGCAGCAGCAGCAGCAGCATCTTAGAAGATGTCTTCCTAAGGAACGGAGACATAACAGGCCACCTCCCAGGTGTGCAGTGACCTTAAATTTCTATTTTTCAAAATCTCAGTGGTTTGATGTCGATTCATTTTTTTTCCTCCATCAAAAGAACAATAAAACAAGTTCTAACCACCCAACCTACCATCTATAGAAGTTCAATAATTTTGCAGGAACATTTCGGTAAGTGTCTACAACATCCACAAAAACAATGTCACCATGAACACTGCTCTCCTCTGAAAGTAAGGCATCTTCCTCATGGAGGCTCCTCATGTGATCAGCGAGTCTCTGAGGCCGAGAGTGAAGGCTACGCAAGAGAGCATCACCTTCTGAAAAGACAGTTGAGAAACAAGCCAAGATCCAGAACTTGTATGATAAGTTACTGAAGTCTTTTTTTCCCCAAAGAGGGGAGGTGTTACTAGAGATTAAACCCAGCTAAGCTCAGTTGCTTAGAGCTTTGCTAAGTTTCTGAGTATGGCCTTGAATGTCCTCCTCCCTCAGTTTCCCAAGGTGCTGGGATTATAGGCATAGACTACCACACCTGGCCTTTGAACTTTGAATCCTCTTGCTTCAGCCTCTAATGTAACTAGGATTATAGGATGCACCACGGGGCCAAGGCAACATCAGGACAGTTAGGAACTTCAGGTAGAGAGAGAGATGGAGCTCTAGTCCACACACTGCTAGCGGGAGCTATATGGTGGTATCTAGCTAAGCTGAAGATATGCAAGTCCCGTGGCTCAGCTAAGCCCACCTCAAGACATAACCCTGGAGACCATACTTGACCTGGGTGCAAGGACATTCGTTGCAGCTGTGTTTATAACAGTGGGGGGAACCAGACCCCTAAGTCAAAAGCAGCCCAACAGTGCTATATTCACATAATATAGCAGATATAAAAATCAACATGACCTTGAAGGTTAAAAGGAATGGCATTGAAAGGTAATGTTGATGAAAACCACTGAATGATGTATGTATAGCACAGATGTCATTTACTCATTATGCTGCTTTAAAATAATTTTTTAAAATACTCAACTATGCTGTTTACAGGTATGTTAAAATATAGTAGGAAGCAGAAAAACAGTAGGGCAGGCACACGGCTGCCGAAGCAGACGCAGCCTTTGGAGGGGCAGAGAATAACAGGGCCCAGGAGCAGTACCAGGGAGGAGGTCTCAACTGCACCTGGTTTTCCCTTGGTGCTGGGGGCTTTGCCCATGCTGAGCAAGTGCTCTACTACCAGCTACAACCTAGCCTCTATAAAAATTTTTTTCTAATAAATGGCAGTCCCCAAGCACCAAAAAAACAAAAACAAAAAAAACCTCCTCTAATAAATAGAACAAAAAGCAAGCATTTGCTAATTCTTAATGTGTAGCTAGCTATTTCTTATTCTTTATTTTTGGTGTATTTATAATATTCCACAGTAAAAATAATTACTGATGTCATTAAAAGACATTTTATTTACCAGCTCACAAGCTGGCAGTGAGTCACAGATCATGTATGTACAGGGACTCTCCCCAGATCCTTTGGGTTTAGGACAGCAGTTCTTTCACTAGGACACAGTAAGTCAGGATTTTCTCAAACACCTCAAGGAAAATTTCTGGAAAAAACAAGAGTGAGCTGCCAAGGGGTTAGGAGAGGATCAACAAGAGCAGCCTAGCACTGCATTCTCTGCTGCACGAGGAAGGGTGGGTGGGGCCCACCCCTGCCACTGTCCCTGCCACTGTCAGTGAGACAGGCGGCACCACAGAACACCCTTGGGCCACAGTGTTCTTGCAATAAAACAGAGCAGACTAAATCCGTGGTTCTGAGGAATGCTTCCTGAAATACAGACACCTGGGCCCAAAGCCTGCAGAGTTAGTAGGTCTGGGGGTGGGGCCCAGGAATCTGTACTTCTGTAGTACTAGGATTTGAACCCAGGGGCACTCTTCTACCGAGCTGCATCCCCAGCTCTTTTTTAAATTTTTAATTTTGAGACAGGGTCTCACTAAATTGACCTCAAACTTACAATCCTTCTGCCTCAGGCTCTGGAGTGGCTGAGATTATAGGTGTGTACCACTGCACCTTGCTCAGCTGGGTTGTTACTTTGGGGAAGATTCCCGCCCCACCATATATATAATCATCACTGGTCATCTTGAAAATGCCACTCAGCATCACAATGAGATCCTACTTCACACCCACTAGGAGGGGAATATTAAAAAGACAGACAATGTAAACACTAAAGAGGTGGAGAAACGGAAACCCACAGAGTGACGAAAACGCAGAACCAGGCAGCCGCTGCTGGGAACAGTCTGGCAGGGCCTTAGATGGCTGCTCAGAATTACCATATGGACCTAGCATTTTCATTCCTAGATGTTTAACTACAAAAAGTGAAAATATATGATCACAGAAGCTTGTACATTAGCGTTCACTGCAGTTATTCATAACTGCCAAGAAGTAGAAGCAACCCAATTGTGCATCAATTAACAAATGGCACTATGGCATTATATATCCAATGGAATATTATAATCACAAAAATAGAATTAAGTATATTGGCCAATAAGGCTGAACCTTGAGAAATTATGCTAAGTAAAAGAAGCTAGGCAAGTACCACATGTTGTATGATCCCATTTGCATGAAATGTTCAAAATAGGCAAATCCACAGAGAAGTAAATTAGTAGTTTTAATAGGTAGGGAAAACAGAATGGGACTAGTGGGTATAGAGTTTTTCTTTTCTTTTTGGCAGGATGGAAATGTTCTTGAATTAGTGTAGATGGTCTCAGAACTCCCCAAATATTGAATCAACACCTTAAAAGGGTGAATTGTATGGTATGTAAAGCTATCTCAGTAAAGCTATTTTTTTCAGCGACTAACAAGATCACATTTTATGTCCAAGTATTAAAAAAATAAATAAATAAAAAGATCAGGTGTAAGGAGGTTCAGTGTTCTTCTCAACAGGCTGACTTACCCTGAATGGTGTAAATGAAGCCACCTGCAACTCCTTCCACACCTTCCATGAATTCATGAGGCAGTGCGCCCTCCCCAGCCTGGAATGAATGAGAGTGGCAGTGTCCAGGGCTGCACAGCAGAAGGGAACGCACTGCACTGGACCATCACCTGACCGGTCCTGACAGGATCCCACTGCAGCACATAGTGAGCTGCTACTTTTGTTATCTAATTACAATCTCCTTTTTGGTACTGGTACTGGGGATTAAACCTGGGTGCTCTACCACTGAGCTACACCCACAGCCATTTTATTTATTTTGAAACACAATCTTGCTATGTGCTCACACTGGCCTCAAACTGGAGTCTCTGGGATTACAGGTGGGCGCCAGCATGCCTGGTTTAACTGCAGTCTTAAGATCATATATGCTTGGTGGCACAAAGGTGTTCTGAATTCCAACTTAATGTGGAATCATATGTTCTTATATTCACTACCATAATGGAACCAAAACCACTTTATTTTACATCCCAACTCCACCCCTTTAAAAATTAATGAAAATTTTGACTTTTTTTTTCTTATAAGTTCAAATAGATAGGCATGTTTTACCTTTCAGTGAACATGCAGAGAAAAGCTTCTCTAAGGTCAGCACTCTGTCCCAAACAGTTCGGATGGAACCCAAGGGACTGCTGGTGAATTTCAGGGCTAGAGCCAATTCTGCTGAAAGCCAGAAACAGACCTTTCTGCCTATTAGGCTTAGAGTGCCTTTATTATTAGAGTCACCTCAAAAGCTGCCCGACACCCCTACTCAAACAGTGTCACATGCCAATTCAGAGCGAGCCTCCATCAGAGCTGCACTCCAGCTGCTACTGGTTGGGAGTGTTCCTGGCCTTTCCTCTGTGAACTCACCTCAGCAGAAGGGATACTGCTGGGCTATTTGCTTTTCAAACAAATCTGTTCAGCAGAGTTTTACTGTGTAAAGCAATTTCGAGGGCCAGCAGTGAGAGAATTCTGAAGGCACTGTGGTAACACATCATTTAATTTAAAATACGGTTTGTAGCCAAATGCTGAAGAAATTAGTCCAAGGGGATGCTACAGAATGCAGCCATATAGTTCTACTCACCATTTTTTTTTTTTTTTGCTGGTGTGTGACAGCTGTATTTACTGGTGGGTTTTGTTGTTACACATTCACACTTGCACACACTACACAATAACACAACACAACTTGGCCAGTACCACTCCCCAGCACTTCCTCTCCCTCCCAACCCTGCAGTTCTGTGAAAGGTCATGTACTCTTCATCTTTGAATTGCTTCCACTGTGCTGTGCTGGCCTGTTTGGAGGGCAGCATTCTTTGGCAGGGAGCAGAACTGGTGAAAACCCTCCTCTGCCCAAGCACCTCTCTGCGGAGCTTCCTCTTCCCCCACCTGAACCTCGACCTTTCACCCTCTGCCACCGTGGGTACTCCAGAGCAGAGCACCGGAGTCTACGTCCGAACCCGCTTCTCAACTCCGAACTTATTTCCTTGACTCTAATAAACTCATATACTATAGGGAGGCAAGAATTAAAGGCACTTGGCTTAAAAAAATATGGAAATTAAGAGAAACCCATCAACTCCATAGAACTTTCTACCCAAAGGACTTTTCAAAAAAGGGTGGAATCCTGAACCCGGGATGCAAATGGCCAAGGCTGGGAGCCGTCCGGCATGCATCTGAGTCGTGTGCTTGGTGTCCTTCCTCTCCCGGACACCGAGCTCCCACGACTCCCATGACAGGCCTGTGGCAGGGCAGGTTCAGTGAACATCTCAGCACGAGCAGCAGAGTGCCACTGTGCCACGGACGTCCTCTGCATCTCCCCAGGACATCCTCTGCATCTCCGTCTGGGGAACCCAACCCCGTGAACAGATGAGTACTCAGAGAACTCGCTGAAGGCCCCATGCCCATCCTCAACTGCTGGCCCAGAGACAGAATGAGAGAAGGGCCTGACAGCACACACAGGCCCGCCGCCCCACCTTCCTCATCACTCCACATTTCAGAAATCTGCCTAATTTGTATATTTTAAATTTGAAGTGGGGGCTGAGGTTGTAGCTCAGTGGTAGAGTGCTTGCCTAGCGTGTGTGAGGCTCTGGGTTCAATCCCCAGCACCATGTAAAACCAAATAAACAACAGAAAGTATTGCGTCCATCTACAATTAAAAATATTTTTAGGGCTGGGGATGTGGCTCAAGCGGTAGCGCGCTCGCCTAGCGTGCATGCGGCCCGAGTTCGATCCTCACCACCATATACAAACAAAGATGTTGTGTCCACCAAGAACTAAGAAAAAATAAATAAATGTTAAAATTCTCTCTCTCACTGTCCCCTTCACTCTCTCTTTAAAAAATTTTTTTTAAAAATTGAAGCAAGTCTGAAAAAATGAGAAACAGAAGAATCAGAAAATCAAAATCAGATTTGCTTCAGCAAGAAAAATAAAAGCAAATATCCAACTTATTTTCCACTTCTCCCTTTAAGATAGGGTCTCACTGTATTGTACAGGCTGCTCTCAGACTCTCAGGCTCAAGTGATCTTGCTTCAACCTCCTGAGTAGTGGGAATCACAGGTGCATGTCACTGCATCTGACTCGGCACTTTATCTCTAGTACTTTATTTTACACATATGTTTTTTTGGCACCAGGAACTGAATCCAGGGGTACTTTACCACTAAGCTACATCCCCATTCTTTTTTGTTTTTGTTTTTGAGACAGAGTCTAAGTTGCTGAAGCTGGCTCCAAATTGTGATCCTCCTGCCTCAACCTCCCAAGTAGCTGAGATTACAGGCATGTGGCAGGTATCTATAGAATTTTAGCTGATATTTCACTATTAAGGTGAGTTAGTGAACATTCTAAACTACTGAACAAATATTCTTAACTATTTTAAAATTTTTGAGAAATAAAATATTGTACTTTAACAATGCACTTTTTTTGCAGCAATGGGGATCAAACTCAGGGTCTTGTGCACGTTAGGCAAGTGGTCTACCACTGAGATACATCCCCAGCCCCCAAAACATGCACCAATCTTAAGGCTAACTCCATATTCATCAGTGTTAGAACTACAGAATCACACTGAACACTTGAGCTTTCTGTCTTTACCATGGCAACTTAACAACACTTACTACTACATATGTTTTAAAAGCACATGAGAATCATTATTCAATACTGCCTGGGATGGTACAAATTTTAAGACACTTTCAGATATAGGAAAAGCCCAAGAGAAGGCTGACTTACAGTAATGATCCGGAGGACTCCGCCACCGTCATGCACGGTCACCCTGTGCAGGTTTCCCGACACGAGCCCGTAGAGGTCTTGACTCTCCCACACCACAGTCCCTTCAAAGCTCTTTGGGGAAAAGATGAAGAGCGAGCCAATTTCTTTACTGTTGTCATTTGGATTAAGTATTTAGGTTCAGACCTGAGAGAAATGCTTATTCTTTCCCCAAAACACATCAGTTAAGCTATCATGCTGCAACTCTTAACACCTTTTTCCATGCACATCTAGAAATCAACCAGAGTGCATAAGGCTGGGTGGCAGATGCCTCGGTTCCCCTGACCCAAAGCCTCCCCGTGCAGTCCAGCAGCTCCCTTCAGTGGGCACAGTGCGCCCTGGGTGGATGCACCTGGGTTTACTGGAACACTCCCTGCGGCAGACATTTGGGGCTGCCAAACAGCTACCACCTTAATGCGGAAGTGTTTTGGCTTAAATGTCTGTTTTCTCCGAATAAGTTGTATTTTAAAAACTAAATTTCCAGAGGTGAAATTCTTAGGCTGAGGTTTGTGTGTGTTGGGACACATCGCTAAGGTGCTTTTCAAAAGTTCTTTTCAATCACCTTATGAGCGGGTTTTGAGAATGCCTGATGTGGGTGCAGGGAATGACCCCTGGTTCAGCTACACTTCTTTTTTTTTTTTTTTTTAAAGAGAGAGTGAGAGGAGAGAGAGAGAGAGAGAGAAATTTTAATATTTATTTTTTAGTTCTCGGCGGACACAACATCTTTGTTGGTATGTGGTGCTGGGGATCGAACCCGGGCCGCACGCATGCCAGACGAGCGCGCTACCGCCTGAGCCACATTCCCAGCCCTCAGCTACACTTCTGATCCCAGGGCTGTTCTCTCCTGATGACGGCCTGTCCTCTTTTGCGTCACCTGGTTTTTGAGTTTTTTATTCCTTGTTAATCTGTGTGCAATTCTGCAGAATACTTATCTTGATCCTGTGTATGCTGTGTGCACTAGAAGTATTTTTTCAGAGTTGTTTGCCACTTTTTTTTTTTTGAAATTCAAACGTCCATAAAATGCTTCCTTATGGACTCTGACAAGCTTTTTTGTGATGATCACTGCTGAATTCCAAGTTTAGCAAGTTGCACTTCCCCGCCCCAAGGTCCTGATGCCTTCCGACTTCTCTGTGGTCAGTTTTCAACTCTGCAGCTGGCTCCTGACACTGCTCAGGTCTTAGCTCCACTTTCTCCAGAAACAGAAGCTACCAAGGCCCAATCTGCCCACCACATCGACCTGTTTCATTTCCTTAATGCCATTTATTGCTCTGCTATTTCTGTTTTTTCCACTGTCAAACTGATGGTTCCCACTGGAACACAAGCATCTTGCTGTTTTTCCAACCACCGTGTCCCCAGCAAGAGAATGGCTTGACGTAACTAAAACTGAATTGTGGAATTAAAGCCAAGTAGATGACCTCCATGTGGCACATGAAGACCTGGCTCTAACATATCAACAGTCTCATGTATGAAATGAAAAGATGAGGATTGACAGTACCGTCTAGTTCAGTCAACAGCTCAGAAAATTAGGCAAAGTGAGTGAATCTGTCTCATGACTAGGTCAGTGGCTCACAAACTTTTTTTTTTTTTAAAGCAATGAAACTTTTCTTCTCTACCAAAGCAGACAAAAACACTGCAAGAGCCTGGGTTATGCTGTTCAGGTGCCCTTAACCTTCATCTGCAAACCCCCCAGGCACTGTCTCCACCCCCCTTCCTTGGAGATGACCTTGCAGACACACTGCAGCCTGTGTCCTTGCTTCTCAGTTCTTAATAAAACACAGAGAGCCACGTCTTTCTCTAAGGGCTGCTCTGAAGTGCACTCTCTGCTCAGAAAATAGGCTTCTGACTATCAGAAGCACAGAAGGATGCAAACTGTCCTTTTCAAAGACTCTACTTTTCCTAGGTGTCCTTAACCCTCTAGCTCAAATCTGAGTTTTAAAAAACAAAACCTTCCCCTAAATAGACACATATACAGGAGGGAGATAAAGAAAAAAGATTAGGGAAGAAATACACCAAATATATTGAGCAACAGATGGGTGAAGTCACGTCCTTAAAACTTTCTGCATTTTGCCAAATTTCCAACAATGAATACATGTCACTTTCATACATTTCTGTACTTTGATAATCATGAAAAAAATGTTAACCTGGAACATATGACCAACAAGTAAATTTAAGGTCAGTCTTCCTCCACAAGCCATTACTTAAACGTTTCAGTATGTATGATTTACCAGGCCTCTGGCTGTGTGTTTCAAGATCAGAAACAAAAATGAAAGAGCCCATATCTTTAAATCACCCTAATATGGAATTATCTAAACACACCGAGATGAGGTTCCATGACAAGGGAAGGAAGTCATTGCGGGGTCGGGGCTCGGCAGGCTCCCAGTACCACCAGCGCTGTCCCCAAGGGCTCTGGGTCAGAAAGTGGGAGGTAACCGCAGGCACACACAGAAAACCATGAAGAGCTTGGCACCAGCCAAGGCAGGGGTGGGAGCCACCCACCCCTGGGACAGGAAGCCAGAAGACAGAGGGCTGCAGCAGGAGAGGGCCTCAGGAGGGGCAGAGAGAGAGAGAGGCTCACGCACACAAAGGTCAGGGAAGAGCAAGCACTGCTAGGGTGACTGGAGAGGGAGGGCAGGAGGTGCCTAGGCTGGGTCAGGATCAGTTCGCCTGAGAGGAAGGAGGCAGTGTCCCCAGACCAGAAGAGCTGCTAAGCAGAGCTCCAGCAGCAAAACCAATGCCTCAAAGCCATGTGCCCGCTGGTCACTACAGAGGACCTCAAAAAGTACCCACTGGACACCATGGAGGACGACCTCAAAATGTACCCACTGGGCACCATGGAGGACCTCAAAATGTACCCACTGGGCACCATGGAGGACCTTAAAATAGAGTGCCTGCTGGCCAGTATGGGGACTGGAGAGCCAAGAATGTGTCCCATGGTGCTGGTTCAGGTGGAGACACCAGACCTAAGGCTGAAGACACAGGAGACAAGAAAGGGTAGCACAGAGGGGATATCCCCAGTAGGATGCCTGTGGGACGTGCACGCAGAGTTCAGCAAGCAGCCAGTCGAAAGCAGTCTGGGCTGCAGTGACAAGACACCAGCCCACTGGCAGTGACAGATGAAATGGCCTGAGAAAAATAAGCCAAACAGAAGGCGAGCATCAAAAAGCAAAAGGAGAAATAATGACCCACACCTCAGGAAAAGCCGCGTGTCAAGGAAAGTCCCTTGAAGACTGCTCTCGCCCTACCCACTAGCTGACACTTGGTGTCTGACCCGCTCTCCCACTGTGCTCCTTCAGTACACCCAACTCCATTGTGCCTGTCTGTGACACTCTGGGTAGGGAAGTACCAGAGTTCACTGGCCCAAAGGAGATGACCCCCAGGCCTGGCTCAGAAAACCATCTTTCTATACTGAACCCGCTGGAGCTGCATCTACCTGCCTGCGAACCCAGGCTGAGCCACGCCCTCCCCTCCTCCTCACACGCCTGCAGTCCATCCTCTGGCCTGCAGTCCATCCTCTGACATAAGCTGTCACAGCACCAGGAACCTAAAGGAGGGGAGCAACATGTTCATGGCAACTTGTGCCAAGACATAAAACCAAGAGAAAAGGAGAAAGCCTGACAAGAGGTTGGAAACATGTTGTCCGTGACATTGCAAGCTGTCTGCAACCCATTCCCCATGTTCACTCCGGCCTTGTGCTTCCTGCACCGGCGTGTGTATGTTTATTTTGGTGGTGCTGGGGATTGAACCCAGGGGTTCTCTACCACTGAGCTGCATCTCCAGCCCTTTGTTCTATTTTGAGACAGGGTCTTGCTATGTTGCCCAGGCTGGCCTTGAACTTGCAATCCTCCTGCCTCAGCCTCCTAAGCAACTGGGATTACAACTGGCCACCGCACCAAGCCATGGTTTTATTTTTTTCCCAATAAAGCTAATATGTATTATAGACCATTGAGGAAACCAATTTAAAAAAAGAAAATGAAAACCATTCATCTCCCATGTAGCCTTGTTAAATAACTGAGTTTTTGTTAATGTTATTCAACCATCATGATGGAGCAAGCACATCTAAAAGCCTATGGGGATCCGGAGGTCTCAGGATGACAGGCACACTGCCTTGCACTCACTACTCCGCCAAGTACCTCCTTCACCAGCATCAGCAGGTGGTCAGCCTGGACTTACCATCTGATCTCAGAGACCCCCAGCAGTTCCGATGAGGCCACACTGGGCCCCTCCCCACACTGACAGTTGCCACATTACTTGAAAGTAAAATAGGGACATCACAACAGCACACCCTTAAGCATTTCAGTGTGGCCTTCCTAAGAACAAGGGCATCCAGAGAAAAGGAACAGTGTGTAGCCAGGACAACTGAGGAGCAGACTGTGACCAGCTGGAGCACCAGGGTTGCTCTTCTTTCTCTCCCTTAACTTCAGCGTCACTGACACTGGGCCGTGCCACTTTTTCCTGTGCGACAAGGACATGCAGTGACAAGGACGTGCGGCATCGTCCTAATCCTCAACCACCAGAAACCAGCTTGGGCAGTGTCCCCAAGCACTGCTAAATGTCCTCCGAGGGCACACTGCCCCTGACTGAAACACTGCTCTTAAGAAGCAAGACCCAAGTCCAGACTGGTGTGTGTGTGGGGGGGAGAGCAGCGGCCTAAGGAGCGTGCAAACACCTCCTGCCGTGTCTCAGCAGCCTCCTGGCATGGACTACCAAATCCCTGGAATGGCCTCAGACCTGGGTGGCAAGGCTCCACAGCCCAGAAGAAACAGGCAGTGAGGGCAGGCTCCTCGCAGGGTCGCAAGCCCCAGAGTGGCAGAGAGATGGCTCCGACTCAGTCACGTGTATCCCCATATCTTCTCAGACCAGTCCTCTCGCACCTTTTGTGAAAAGCAGGCCTTCAGCAGGCTTCAGATGGTTCTGGGTAATACCCAACACCACGCCAGTGCTCCTGGTCCCTTGGGATAAAGTGACCCTCCCCATGGGAACCAGTCTTCGGGAGATTCTGCCCACACTGGGACAAGCCTACAGGAGGGACTCTTACTGGCCTGCTTCAGTCTAAAGGAGCCAAACCAACTAGGTAACCAGGCGACACTCTCAGCAGCATCCTGGCACAGGTAGCAGCACCCACCGCATGTGAGCCACTAGGCAGCAGCACCCCAGGTTGAGTCTTGATGAGGCCCATGCTTGGCACACAGCAAAAACCTTCTGGGTAAACATAGGAACTAACTAAAGATAGTTTCCTTCAAAAACTGAGATCCAATGCTTGGCCAGCACTGCTTAGCTGAGCCACAATCTTAATCCAAAATAAAGGATAATTTAATGGCACACGCTGCACTTCAAAAGCAAGTTAGTTCAGGGCTGCATTGGGGCCCAGTGTTGAGCACTCGCCTAGGACGTGTGAGGAACTGGTTCAATCCTCAGCACCACATAAAAATAAACAAGCAAAATAAAGGCACGCTGTTCATGCCTTAAAAAGAAACAAGTTCATAAATGAAAGAAAAAAAGATACAGGAAACAAAAAGATATAGGCACTCTTATATAATGCTAATGATTATTCAAATTGATACAATTGCTAAAATGCCTTCCAAAAAGAATCATACGCCTTCAAAACATGTATGCCCTTCGGTCTAATAACTCATCCTAAGAAACCAATCAGTGATGCACACAGAAGTGGAATGATGTTCACTATAATTTTCTTTCATAACACTGAAAAATTTCAACATATCAAAATGCAGCTAATGTTAAAAAATGACAATATTTTTATATAGCATAATTTTACACAGGCATTAAAATAGTGAACTATATTTCTATGAAAAATGTCCATGCTGTGTTAAACTATAAAACAGGGAGGAAGTATAATCCTAACATCTATACATGCACAGAAGTCAATCTTAAAATGTGATTATTCCTGGGTTATGAGATTTTGGTGGTTTTAATGGTTTTCTTTAGTTTATCTGCATTTTTCTATTGTTTCCCAATGTTTTAGTGTTGCTTTTATTGGAGAGGTTTGTTAATTGGAAGTTGAAATGTAGGTGAAAGACCCCATGGCCGGCTGGGTTGTGGCTTAGCGATAGAGCACTTGCCTAGCACATGTGACCCCTGGTTCGATCCTCAGCACCACATAAAAAAATACATAAATGAAATAAAGGTATTAAAAAAAAAAGATCCCTGTCAATCACAGGCCGTTTCAACTACTGTGCTCAATTGCCAAGCACTTCACAGTGGGCTGAGGTGGTGGGTGGCGCTGTGTGCATGCCTGCAGCCACCTACCCTATGGCACACTGTGGCCAACTCCAGGACTGCTGAGGCCTCGCAGGTGAGGGGTCTCCAGCACACTCAAGACTGGACACACTGAGTCCCAACCCTTTTTGGTATTTTTTTAGAGACAATGTTTTGCTGAGTTGCTTAGGGACTCTCTAAGTTGCTAAGGCTGGCTTTGAACTCACGATCCACCTGCCTCGGCCTCCTGAGCCACTAGGATTAAGGGCATGCGCCACCACACCTGGCTCTCCTTCCTTCTTCAGATAAGCAGAAAGTTTGAATTACCAGAATGTCTGTCTGTCTGTCAGCACCCCCACTGGGCTTTCACTAAAATAGTCATGGGGTGTCTACTGCAGCGAGCCAACACGGCCAGGTGCGAGACTCTTCCCAAGTGTGTTCTGAACCTGAGGGCTCACGGCATCCTCGGGGTCTAGAAGCGATGGCTACCTTCCAGTACACCTCGCCCAGCATCTGCCTCCCGTTCTGCAGAGCTGCCTTGCCCACCAACACACAACTGTCCTGTGAAGGACCACACTGGCAGGGGCTTCCACTGTGCTTTTACCTCGGGTAAGATGAACTGCTCCACGGGCTTGTACCACAGCTTGTTCACCTGCACACCACAGCTCGGAGGACTGAAGCGCGCAGTGAAGAGGGCCTCCTGCACATGGGGGAGAAGAGACATGAAAACAAAGACAGACGCTGCCCCTTGGTAGGTAAAATCCACAGGCACCCCAACCATGGTCACCAATATCGTGCCATGGAGGTTTTAGCAACTTTGGGGTTTTCTAGTACCATCGTGGCTTATTAAATAAACAGAAGACAATCAAAACTGTCACGAGGTTCTCACATACTAATGTAACCCACATGACCTTAAAAGGAAATTTGGAATGAGAAGCATTCAGGGAAGGGAGATGGTGTTAGGCCAATTCAGTGTCAAACCCCAGTGCTCCCGAGAGTGCAGAACAGACTGAGGACTACAGCTTCCAGAGAACAGAAGGCACTCAGAAACCGCCTTAAAATGAACCTCCATACTCTCTAAAGGAAGTAAGAATAGGAGAAATCACAAAAAAGGAATTTGATCTTAAGCAAAACAGGGACTACAAAAAAGACAATTCTCAGGATGTCACTGTGAGGCAGGAGCATTTCTTTCTTCCATGACTATTTTTATACACCAAGTCACCACAGGGATCAAGACCATGCAGAAAGTCACAACCACAGGTGTGTCAATGGATTAAGATGACATCTTTCATGAACACCAGTTCTAGAAATGAAGTGAGGATACTTCTGGTGTCTGCCTGTGAACCCTTTAGTATCCACCTTAGACCAGTGCATCCTCAAAGGCAGAAACTATGGACTTCTCTCTAGCTAAAAATACAGCGAGATTATTCAACATGATCAAAGTATTATGTGTCTGAACTAAACTACTTGACTGATAATGCAAGCATTACAAATAGTTTTTATAAAAAGACTACACGCACTAAGACAATTGAGTACATCAAAAATTCAAGAGTAATTGGAATCTCTAAATCAGGACAACAGCAGAATTCAGAGTACTGTTATTTTGGTTACCTATCTAAACTTCAGTATCAATTCAATCTTTTGTGGGGCAGGCGGTACTGGGGACTGAACCCAGGGATGCTCTACCAGTGAGCTGCATCCCCGGCCCTTTGTAAATTTCCTTTTGAGGCAGAGTCTTGCTAAGTGGCCCAAGCTGGCTTTGAACTTGCATCCTGCCTCATGAGCTGGAGTAGCTGAGATTACAGACATGTGCCACCACACCTGGCTTTTTTTGCTTTGTTTTGGGTTTTTTTTCGCAGCGCTGAACCATTGTACCACTGAGGTACACTCCCAGCCCTTCCATGAAATCTTTAACCACAGGAACACAGAGACTACGAAGTAGAGTAACCTGATAAAGCTCTTCATGCCACAATCGTAATGGCTGGAGTCACTTGTTCCCTCTTCCATTAACACATGAACTATAGGCTCTCAGAGGAAGTAATATGAAAAACTGCAGAGTATAAACTTAATCTTGAAATAGATTATTTCAAGTCACATTATCTGTGACTCCAACACGGTATCCATTGGTAACAATCAACATTAACAATAACAATAATACAGAAATATTTGAGAAAACAGAGTTCTGTTTCCAGTAATATCAGACTAATTTTCCTAGAGGTAACAATCATGAAATCTGGACAAAGCATAAAAAGGTGACCTGAAGGCAGTTAAATTCCACTTAACATAGAGGAGAATCAAAACCAGAAGGGACCCTGGGTGCTCATCCCATCTCTGTCTGAAGGCACCACTCTAGGGTGACTGAGACTGAATGCAGACCTGCAGTCTTTCTGGCTAAAGAATTAAGAGGGTGGAGTTGGCACAGACACATCAGCTAAACAGTGAAAAGGAAACCCCTGCAAGGAAGGGGCCACAGAGGGAGAGCCACGGTCTTCCTGTGGATTCTGCCCAAACCTGTGGCTGCTCAGGAAGCACAGTGTGAGGGCACTGAAGCAGCCCCCCTGAGGTCCAGAGAACTGAACAGAGATTTCAGTTGCTGTCCTTGGCAAGGGAAGCCACGCAGAGCCTGAATCTGGCCAGTGCAACTGCTGAAACAGAACAGGAATCCAGTGCTCTCCTAGGAAGACAGGGGGACCCAAGCTCCCACAGCGACTCGCTCTAGCATCTGGGCCACAAGCTGAAGTTACTGGACAGAAGATCAAACAGAAAAGGTCACTGCACTCAAGTCAGAAGACGATTCACAGACAAGCAGTCAAGGATGACGCCTTTATAACTGTAGTCAAGTGTCTGTCAGGGAGAAACATGCTCAAAGTAATGAGCACACAAGAAGTTTAGAGAAACAGAAACTGCAAGAGAGAGTTTTCAGATGAAAATTGAAGAAAAGTAAATCTAAAATAAAAAATTTATTGGATAGGCTTAATTGCATAATTGAGATGATAAAAGACTAAGGGAACTTGAATGTAGATCAACAAAAATTACCTAACTCTGGGGCTGGGATTGTGGCTCAGTGGTAGAGTGCTCAATCCTCAGCACCACATAAAAATAAATAAGTGAAATAAAGATAATGTGTCCAACTAAAACTTAAAAATAAATATTAAAAAAAAACTTTAAAAATTACCTAACTCTGAAAAACAGGAAAAATGAACAGTGGTTCACAAAGGGGACGATACCAAAATAAGTGTCATGCACATACAGGGCCGAGTGCAGGGGCCACATCTGCAATCCCAGTGACTCGGGAGGCCAGCTTCAGCAACTCAGGGAACAAAGAGAAAAGTCACTCCAAGGCACAATACATCCAGATTGCTCACAACAAAATACAAAGAACCTTAAAGGCAGCCCCAAACGCACACACCACTGCACACATCCATACGCAAACAACAATATGAAGGATGACTGTGTTCTCCCTAGCACAACTGTCACCAAAAACACGGGGATGCATCTTTAAAATACTAGAGGAAAAAAAAAAAGGAAAATTCCATATCCAGAAAATATTCCACAGTAATAAAGCAGAAAAAAAGAATAAAAGTATAACAAGAATATTTTCAGAAAAATGAAAAGTAAATTTATCACTAGTAAACTTGTTTGTAAGAAACACTGAAGGTTATTATTTGGGTTGAAGACCATGATATCAGATGGAAACTGGACATTCATGGAGGAATACAGAGCATCAGAAATGGTGAATATGTGGGCAAGTGTCAAAGAGTATTTTCCTCTATATTCCCTTAACATGCACTCAGCTGTTTAAACTGTAACAAGTATTGTGGGACTGAGGGTGCACATACAGGAAACCCACGGGCAATGACAGGAAACACTCTGCCTTGGACCTGAAGGGGAAGGACAGGAACAGAAGACTGGAATGCATACTGTTATCCTCGCACAAGACAATGGGACAAAGAGCTGAAGCTAAAGAAAGAACAGAAATTAAAAACAGCATTCTAAAAAATATTCAGTCAACCCACAGAAGGCAGAAAAGGAAAAACGGGAACAACAGAGAAGACAGAACAAAACACAACAGGGCTGGGGATGGGGCTCAGTGGAGAGGGCTTGCCCCTCACATATGAGGCACTGGGTTCGACTTTCAGCACCACATAAAAATACATAAGGGTATTATATCCACCTACAGCTTAAGAAAAAAAAAATAGGTCAGAAATTATTTTGAATCCTTATACTCCAATAAAATAGAAGATAGTGAAGGCATAGATAAATTCCTTAAGTCTTATGACCTGCCCAGATTGAGTCAGGAGGAT